GTCACCCAACCAGAGCACTGTAGCTGGGATCCTGTTCTGTGGTGCCTGAACTTCCCACGTGTGGGGTGGCCTAGGTTACCACCCTGCTGGTCCCCACTCTTTGACAGTAACTCCGTCCCCTTCACCATATGTTACAGATGAGTTTACTCCTAAATGCCTGCCTTATTCTGTGAGTGCATCCCTTTCAAGTAAGTCCCTGTTTTCTCAGGGATGTCTTGTCCAGGAGTTTACAAAATCAAGCTCTTGTTCTGACGTGGTACAGTGGAGGTTTATTTTATCTCCTATATCTTGACTTTCAAAATTACTAAAACTATATCTAATTGCATTAAAAATGTAGGACCTCTACTTGCCTCACATATATATTTGCAAGTGCATTGGACATACCACTAAATTCAAAACACAAAACAGTATCATTTCATCAAACTTTAGAACCTTTGGGTTTTGAAAATGACTTTGTAAAACAGAGTTGTTGGGCCCAGAAAATTTATTTAACAATATATACTCAACAAATATTTATTTTTCTCATTTTTTTGAGATAAGGTCTTACTCTGTCACCCAGTCTGGAGTGCAGTGGCAGGATCTCAGCTCATTGAAACCTGGAGCCTCCATCCCACCAATGCTTACCCTCTACCCTGAGCTCAAGTGATCCTCCCACCTCAGCCTCCCGAGTAGCTGAGACCACAGGTGCACACCACCATGCCTGGCTATGTTTTTGTATTTTTGGTAGAGATTGGGTCTCACCATGTTGCCCAGGCTGCCCTTGAGTTCCTGAGCACAAGAGATTTGCCTGCCTCGGCCTTGCAAAATGCTGGGATTACAGGCTTGAGCCATCACACCTGGTCAACAAATATTTCTTTATTGAATTCTACATGCAAGGCATTTTTCTAAACTACACAGTTACAGTGGGGAGCAAAACAAAGATTCTGCCCTCATAGAGCTGTGCTACTGGGAGGATTGGCTAGTCATTGTGTAGCTATTTGGCAGAGCCACCTCAGCAAATTAGGAAAATGTTTCAGGAACTAAATCTGAGCTCTAGTGAGGCTGATGGAGAAAGATCAGCCTTTAGGACAGTTACATGCAACCAACTAGATAGTTACCAAAAAAGAAAATTATGCACTATGAGAATGAGTACATTCTTAATGGCTTATTAGGCAAACATGGTGGCTTCTTTGAAATGTTTACTGTGACTTCAGGATCGCCCTTACCTAGTCTTGCACATTTCTCCATTTTTGACTCACAACATTCTCCTCTCCTCTCACCTTCAAATACCCATACACTGCTAGGGGTGCTAAACAATGAGCTGTTTTTCTGCTCTGAAGATCTTCCAGGCCTCTGTTTATTCCTTCCCCTGGTGTCTGGCCTTGTGGTCATTTTACATCTCTGATGCTTCTATACATTTAAGTGGGGAAAGGAAATTCATAAATTAACATTCAAACTAGTCTCTTTTTTTCCTACCATTAGCTTCTTTCATAAATTCTTAGGTGGAGATAGGATTTTTAAAAAATTTCTGCTCACACCATTGCTATGGAAATATCACTTCATTTTCTTAGAAGGAATTCATGGGCAGACAGGTAAATACATGTACATTAGCCAGCAGGAAGCTTCAAGGACAGTAGAGCGATGAAATGTTTTTTCCGGTAGTTATGCTTCCTTCCAATAAAAAGTTCCCCAAAAGTATAACAGCAAGGGTCAAATGCTTATATAAATAACTATTTAGAGCTTTTTAATGTAAAATATTGAACTCACATCTGAGGGGCTCATATCCTTTTTAAAAGCTGCTAGGGTTTTCAATATACTTCTCTCTCTCATCATTCAACATATTCAAGCCAGACTAGCCTTTGTGAGCCCAAATAAATGTGCTAGTTGCAATTTGCAGCCTAATATTAGAAGGAGTAGTGCTAGCAACAGACCCTCTGAAAAAGCCTGGCAGTATTTATACAAGTAAAATACTATTTTTCAGCCTATTTTGTCTTATCTCCGCGCTTCTCTAATTAAAAACATTCTTTCTAGAAAGCATAACAAGGTAGTAACAAATCTACAAGTTCATTTTCGGCAAAGGATTCTCAAACAAGATGTTGATAGATTTTTATCATTATGATTCTAGAGATTCTAGTCTTATGAAAGTGTTCATGGAGATTGATAGATAGATAGATGTATATAAAAGTAATGAAAAATGGAAGAAGGAGATATAACTAGGCTTTATTATTAGAATGAATGATGGAAAGCACTGACCCCACGTAGCACTCTGCCTTTTGTGAGCTTTTTATTTCATTGTCTTTGACCTGCAATCATAATCTTGATAAGAAATAGTTAATAAAAGAGACTGAGAGGTAACTAGGAAGATGGGTGGCTAGAAATAAATGTTTTCTCAATTATTTATCACCCTTTGGAAATATCTGTCTGAAATGTTGGTCCCATATATCCACTTTAACAGTGCGGAGGAGGGAAGTGGTAGCTGTTATTAATTTTTAAGGCTAGCTGGCAGCTTTCAGTCCAAGAACAAGGCTTAACTTTGCATTTTGAATAATGCAGAAATTTTCATTAGTTAGAATAGAATCAAAATTATAAATGATATATTGCCTGCAAAAAAATTGACATTATATTTGCAGTTCTCTTTTAGAATAAGCTTTCTGGAAGTGCACTTGGATAAATTGGGAAGCTACCAGTATTGTTTACTTATTTCATGTATAAGTTTTCGAAAAACCATTCAAAGAACCTTCCTGACTGAGGGTTGGTAATGTCGTATCCAAGTGGCAGTTCATTATTGCACCTAAAAGCTAAGTGTTGGCACAAATAGTAATTACTAGTGTATGAGATCATTGTAATCGGTTTCAGACATTACTTTTTGCTCACATCTGCCTTCTGAAGACCCTGGGACAATTTAATTACCTCTGCACTTTTGATTCCTAATTCTTTCAATAAAAAATATAAAATTACCCTCAGTTGAGTATCAGACTAAAACATTTGTAACTGCTTTCCATTGTCATCTCTCTTCCATCAGATTATCATGTTAAGTTAGTCTTGGGCGCATATACTCATATATACTTTGTTTTGAGCACCCAAGGCTCGTTTTGACTAGAAGTCAATTCAAATTTATGACAACACAAGTACTGTATCCAAATGTCTCTCGGTAATGTAATGTATGGCTGTAATAACAAACACTAGAATTAAACCGCTAATAGAATAGTCTCCTAGCAGCTGCTTCAATCCCAGTTTGAAGGGCATTGAAATAGCTGATTCAGAGATTTCTATAGAGAAACTTAAGCTAATTAAGGACATCAAAGTCAATGGAATGACAATATCTGCCAGTGAGCAATACAATTTATATACATTGAAAAGAAGGCTAAAAGAAGGTTAAAAAAAGTATCCATTTAGATGAGTCTTTTATTTTGCATGCCATTTTGCATTTCCCAGCTTTGCTTAAATCACAAGTCTGACGGAAAAGACTTTCATATATTTATTACACTAGATAATAGAAGACTATTGATTAATCTGCCTTTTCTCCCACAGTAAGGTGCAACTGAGCACTGGTGTCTTTTGAGAGTCTTTGACCAGTTCAGTGTGGAGGAAAAGAAAGAGGACGGTTTTTGGTTGTTGTTGTTTGATAACTACTCAAAAGTAGTTATCTGCTTTATAAGAGATTCAGATGGTACTTATCAATTTATTAATTTTTTTGGATTTACTCAGCTCAAAGTCGAATAACTTTTAGGTTGAAATTCTAGTTAATATTGTTCACACTCAACCAACTGTTTTTGGCTGTGCAGCCTGTCTTAGCTGTGGGTTGGAAACATGCTGCTATCCTTCTGCGTATTAACTTCATCAGGTTGTAGAACTGCTAATAAAACTCCTAAACATAGAGTTCTTGAAGTTAAACTCAAAGTGAAAGTGTGGCCATTAGAACTGCACTTGTCAAGTGACAGAAACTTTTTGTCTTATCTAGCATTAAACAAACAAACAAACAAACAAAACCCTGAGTAAGCATTAAATACATGATGCAATTTGTCTGCATGTTTTCACTGTCTGAATGATTAAATCTGAGGGTCTGAGATTTAGTCAAATAAATTGAGATAGACCCCATTAGATTCTGCATTCCAATTCAAATATCATGTACCACCCATCTATTTGATGGGAAGCATTCATCAGACCCCTTTGAGACTGTTCTGGAAGGAAGTTTTAATGGCTAGCTACTTTGCTTCATCTTGGTGCAAATTCAAACAGTGACTGCAATGCAGTCTCTGGTTTGGTAAGGTGTGATTTCTTTATCTAAAATAATTTATTTTTTAAAAGTAAATTAAAATTTTCTTTGTTATTACATGAGTCCCTAATAAAGTTGTACCAGGGAGTGCCTTATATATTAGCAGGTGCTCATTGAAGGCCATGTGTTGACTTACATTGCTAAAGCTCTATCATATAACTTCAGGTCATAATATTAATATACATTTTTTCTTTTTTTTCTTTGGGTGTTCTGCTAAAATATGATTTAGCTTTTAGACATTCCATTCATTTTTTAAGCACCTCTTATAGTTCCCTTTTGCATCTCACCTGGAAGGTTGTAAATTTTTGTTTTCTTCTTTGCATTTTGTATAGTTTATATATCTATAGAGTTTTTGTAATGTATTATGTCTTGATATCATTACTGTTACTTAGACTTCAAAATTCTGCTACCAGCATATGTAAAATTGGTAATAGATAGAACAACCATTGATTGCCTGGTTGGCATAATGGTTAGGTGTCTGATGAGAAGTTGCTAAGATATGATATGACAGCAGTCCTTGAGCTTCTGAGTCTCTGCGAGCTCTCACAAATTGAGAGTTTCAATATGTAGCGTCACCTTATTTGTGTGCGGTTCAGTCTGTCAACTTTTGACTATAACTTTAGTATGCTGAGTTCAATCATTGTAGGCTCCAAATATAAACGATTTCATAGCCATGTAATGATTAGTTTTGGAAGCCGTATCTCATTCAAAAGGAACTTACAGGGAGAGAGATAATAGTACTTACATGTGTCTTCTTCTTCCATGGAAATACTGATCACATAACAGGCATACACAAAACCCACCAACTGCAAAAAAGAAAAAATTGGCACTTTAAGAATTGATTCTAAGTTTCCATAATTAAAGAGCCAATATAACCTAATAAAGATAAAAATTTATGAGCAACTTTCAAGAATTTGCAGTAGGAAGAACTCTTTTAAAATGATAGCTGAGGTTTTGAGTCTTTTCATTTCTATGTAGCCTTATTAGCTTTCTAAAAAGTACACAGAAATGGGGGAAAAACTAATTTTTAGATATTTCACTTAGATTTTGATTTGGGGCTTACAGTTCTTATATTTTATAGTCAGCAAAGATTAAGAAATCCATTTTAAAGTTCTAATTTTTTTTTTCTGTTGGTTGAGCATTTTATACTAGCACTCATTAACTATAACTATTTTAATATTTAAAAGCTACAGAAAGAATCAAAACATGTTGCATATAAATTAAATACCAATCATCTACTTAATTATTTAAAATGCTCTGGGAATGTAAATCATATTTAGATACTAGATTGCTTTGTTAATCATATCACAAGAAAACACATTAACTTATTGGTGATTTGGTAGTGTTAAAATAAAATAGAAGAGATAATTTATACTTTTAATACTAGTAGTTCAAAGAATAAATGCAGGTGTAGAATTTAACCTCTGAATTTATCATGCTAAGAGGAAGATTTTTATTCCATGGAGCCAAAGACATTGCAATTCCTACAGGACAAAATTGTCAATGAATCTAGTCTAGTCTAAAAATACTTACTATAAGCACTTCCATAGGTATGAAAAATAGATACTTGATAGCTGTTATGGTTTCTCTTCTTGCCTTTGTTAACATTTGTTTCCACCCTTTGCTCCCATTATAAAATAACACTGAGAAAATAAACTTTTCCTGGTAGTCCTAGTATCAAAGGCTGATGTTTCCAATGCAGAGAACAAGATATCTGGGGCTTTCGACTACCCATGTGAATTAGGACCCTGAGCTTGTAATCCTTCTCTAGAACGTCTAAATAAAGCCCAAGAAGCTCTGAGGGGTGAGAGGTTAGGGAAAAGGCTATTGTGAGGTCTTAGGAGAAGGGCTTCCAGAGAAATCAGCCAGGGTGATGGTGGCTTTTCCCACCCAGCAGGCACCTCATCTCACCTCAAGCCAAGTGAGTGGGTGCTTCAGAAAGCACTTGGGGAGTTTAACATTTCTTACATTTTGGGAAACATGGGGGTTTGGCACCTGACTCACACTTGAAAGAGCCAAAAGGCAAGAGGCTGTGTCTAGAGGGGCTTTTAGTTATAGTGTGTGGAGACAGGATTGGGCAGGACTGGCAGGGCAGGATGTGTACATGGGCCCTTAGTCTGGGGTAAGGCCTCTGGAGAGTTTCCTGTGCTATTCTGGAGTTGGAGCCACCGCAGAAGACTTCCTGGCAGGGATAGGTAACCTCAAGATGATGGTACTTTGGCTATAGAAGGCAAGTAGGGGGTGCAAAGTGGCAAACCATGGAGGCTGATCATCCAATAAACAGGTAGGGATCCTATGGGAGATGCAGGGTGGGATTCTGAAGAACCCCTAAAAACGCCCTACAAGAAGAAGCATCAGCATGTGGGAGATGTCACACCCAGAGAGTATCCCTGCCGGATTACAATGGAACCCTTCATGCTAACACCTCGTTCCCTGCTTTTCTCCCATTGTTTCTCCTTCTACTTCATCCCTGCAATAAAACAGTGAGAGAAGTGGAGTGAGAAGAGGAGGAAGCAGTGCCATGTTTTCCCCTCTGCGAGTCTGCAAGTTGAAATCAGACCCAAGCTCAGGAGGAGTTTTTAAGTGGATGAGAATTTTCAATGACCTGGACTAGATATTTAATATCTCTGAGGGACTAAGACAGCTGTAAGGTCTGCTTGAAATATGATCCAAAGGATGAGCTAGAACAAAGCCATAACATGTACTTGAAGGGGCAGTGAGAGAACAAACAAAATTACCTTTTGACTGTATTCTACCAGCTCATTCACTAAACCAGTTACATAGAGAAGCAAGAAATGGCCCCTAATCCCATCACTAATAACTTTACCATAGATTTCCTTCCAATCCTTCTCTCTTGTAGTTGCTATATATCACTTACACTCTTAGGACTCTAGCACTCTTCAGAAGCCTAATTATTAATGACCACATAAATTTGTATCATTTAAATATACTGCAATATATTAAGGTAATGTTCTATTATTGAAAGTTGTTTTTAAGTTATAAATAATGTTATGAAAAATATTAATGCTTTTCCTAAATTTTCGATGATCTGATTCTCAGAGGTAAAATTATTATTGCAGAAGTGCCACTGAATATTTTTATGACTTTTTTTTTTTAGACATTATTGGTTTTCAGAAAGTTTGTATCATCTATCCTACCACAACAGTGACTGACAACGTTTGCTTTTCCATATCCGTAGGGTAGTTCCACTTCAAAATGCACACCAAGAAAATTAACAAAATGGCATCTCTTCAGTTATTTATTTTTGCACTAGTTTTCTTTCCTCTGGCATGTTTTCATATTGTGTTAGCCATTTATGTTTTTTATTTTGTGAATTATAACAAAAGTTCATTGCTCATTTATTAACTTGATATTATTTTCATTAATTTATATGAGGTCTTACGGGGGAAAACCTTTGCTTTATTTGCTGCAAATTTTTGTTTCTTTATGTTAGCCTGTGATAGTGATGGTTTCATAATGTCAGAAGATTTTCTTACTAAAACGTATGTTAGAAGGCATCTGCCAACAAATAACTTTCTAGTCCTTGGTGGGTTCTCCTTTAGGGGTGTGTGTGTATATATGTATACCCGCAAGCATACATATTTGTAAATCAAGACCTCTCTTGCATTAGTTTTCTGTTGCTGCTGTAAGAGATTGATGCAAACTTAGTGGCTTAAAACAACACAAATCTTACAGTTCTGAAGGTCAGATGTCTGAAATGGGCCTTACAAGGCTAAAATCAAGGTGCCAGCTGGGCTGTACTCCTGCAAGATCTAGCAAACTCTGTTTCCTTCCTTTTTCAGCTTCTAGAGGATGCCTGCATTCCTTAGCTTATGGTCTTGTCCTCCAGCTTAAAGGCCAACACCATTGGGCTGATTTCGTCGTAAGCTGTCATCTCTTTGGTTCATCCTCCCCTTCCTTCCTGTCCTACTGTTAAGGATGCCGGACACACCTGGACAACTTAGGATTACCCCTCCATGTTAAGGTCACATGATTATCACCCAATTTCATCTACTATCTTAATTCATTCTCCTTTGCCATGTGCAGTGATTTATTCATAGGTTCCAGAGATGAGGATGTGGAAATATTTAGGGAACTGTTATTCTGCCTATCACATCTGTGAACTCATATTTAGATTCGCAGCAGGTTCTGCACAATGTAGAGTACAGTGGAGATAGAGAAATGATACTGAGAAAATTACTTAAGTTTTACACAGGAACAGAAAACTGAACACTACATGTCCTCACTCTTAAGTGAGAGTTGAACAATGGGAGCACATGGACACAGGGAGGGGAAAACTACTATCATCAATTTGGTGGTGTACATGTAGTCCATGTTTTTCCATCCTACCTACAAATATATATCCTAAAAGCAGAACATAATTAGTTTATTTATTTATTTTTTATTTTAGGTTTGGGGTTGCATGTGAAGATTTGTTACACAGGCAAACACATGTCATGGGGGTTTGTTGTACAGCTTATTTCATCACACAGGTATTAAGTCCAGTACCCAATAGCTATCTTTTCTGCTCCTCTTCTTCCTCCCACCCTCCAGCCTCAAGTAGAGCCCTATTGTTTCCTTCTTTGTGTTCATAAATTCTTATCATTTAGCTCTCATTCATAAGTGAGAGCATGTGGTATTTAATTTTCTGCTCCTGCATTAGTTTGGTAAGGAAAATAGCCCCCAGCTCCATCCATTTTCCCACAAAAGATGTGATCTCATTATTTTTTATGGCTGCAAAGTATTCCTTGGTGTATAGGTGCCACATTTTTAAAATCCAGCCTATAATTGATGAGCATTTGGGTTGATTCCATGTTTTTGCTATTGCGAATAGTGCAGCAGTGAACATAGGCATGCATGTCTCTTTATAATAGAGTGATTTATATTCCTTTGGTTATATACTATTGCTGGGTTGCATGGTAGTTCTGCTTTTAGCTCTTTGAGAAATTGCCACACTGATTTCCACAATGGTTGACCTAATTTACACTCCCATCAAAAGTGTATAAGCAGAACATACTTATTTTAAATAGCACATTTAAAACAGTTTTCTTGACAATTTCATATTCTGGGGGTATTGTCTCTTCACTTTGATTAGATCATTGTTGTTTTTATTTTGCATTGTACCTGACAGGGAGATTTTACTAAGAGGAGGACACACATCAACTCTGCTATTAAAAAAATTCATACGTGTCCATAATTAATTTTATCTTTAATCCATAGATTCTTGCAAGAAATTGTCTATGCCACTTGCAATTTTGTAAACATTAGTTTTCTTAAAAACAGATAATGTAATCTGTGGATCTACTGAACTCTGCACAAAGATTGTAATTCATCTCAATATACCCAATATGAAAGTCATTGCGAACTGCATCATACTATGGAGGTTTGGCCCCCACAGGCTGCTGCTAGCATAGTCACACATCACATAACATTTCTGTCAGTGATGAACCACTTAAATAATGGTGTTCTCATGAGATTATAATGCGGCTGAAAAATTTCTATTGACATTGTAGCTGCTGGTGACATCATAGCACATGCAATACTGACATATTTGTGCTAATGCTGTTGTAAACAAACCTGCTGTGCTGCCAGTCATATAAAAGCATAGCACATACAAGTACATATAGCATATCATACTTGATATTGACAGTAAACAATGATGCTACTGGTTTGTGTATTTATACTATACTTCTTTCTGTAGAGTATACTCCTTCTACCTAAAAAATTGTTGAATGCAAAACATAAAAATTTCCTGCGAAAAAATACAATTTTATTTTATATTATAAAGAGTTCTTAGAGGCTACCT